AATAAAACTTTGATTTGTTATTTATATCGCAATAAAAACTAAAGATACAAACTTTAACCTTTTATATATGATGCAACAAGAACCAAAGAAATAAAATTGGTTGATACCACACCTTTGAATGATTAAGAAAAAAAATGATAAATCAAGTTAGAATACTACAAAAATAATCTTGATAAATTCTGTAAAATTATGAAACGAACCAAAGAAAAAAGTATATCAAAACTCAAATTCAATAGTTTCCCCAATTAGGGTTACAAATCATTTTTTAAAAGAAAAGTAATTATAATCAAAATAGAAAACTAACACCCTAAACCATAATCTTAATAACCACGAATTGGATCTCAAATAAATAAATATTTAGCCCAAAATAACACAAAAAGTGTGAAAATCACTTAAAGTAATTTAAAATAACATAAAACATTAATTTGTTACAAATTGCGACAGAATTACGAAATTTTGACGCAAACTATGTAATTTAACATAAATGACATCAATTAAACTTCTCTTGAATCTAAATAATATTTACCATACCTTAATAATCATCGAAACTTCGATTTATTTATCGCATGTTGTTATCAACCCAAATCTACTAAATAAGGCCATTTAAAACTTCTCACATCTTCCTAACTCTATTTCTTGTGATTGGACCTCCTGAAATATGTAATAGATCGCATGTTGTTATCAACCCAGATCTACTAAATAAGGCCATTTAAAACTTCTCACATCTTGCTAACTCTATTTCTTGTGATTGGACCTACTGAAATATGTAATAGATCTATTGACGTAGTACATGTGGGGTCATCTTGATTCCAATCAAGATGAATACACAGTTAAGAAAGTAACCCAAACCTGCAAAAGTAGATTTGCTTATAAATAAATCAGAATTACAATTTAATTTAAGTTTTGCAATAAAAAAAATCAAAATTTATTTTATTAACATAAAATATTTTAAAATCAACTTTATAAAATAAACAATGGTATAGAATAATTTTTTATATAATTTTTAAGATAATTTTTATATATTATTTAATAAATATATGTATTTAATATTATAAATTTCGAATAAATAAATAAAATTAATTATTTAACTAATACATAAAATTATATTAAAAAATAAAATAATATAATTATTCTTAAATTATTTTCTTTATAAAATTAATTTCAAAACAAAAAAGAAAAAGAAAAAAAAGAGAAGGTAGTTCCCAGGTTCATAGCAGGTGTTGAATTTAACGTATGAGAAATGGTCTTGCCATCAAATCCCAGCTCAGACTCCAAAATCCCAAAAGGCTGGTCTATCTCCCATATGATCACCGACCGTCAACAACCTCAAGAAATTGAGAAAACTCCAGGCTCCAGCTTTATAATTTAAAATCTCTGCAGGAAGAATCTTCTTCAACCTGATTTGTTTGCCCTTCTCTGTCAATTCTCTGTCAAACTAACCCACTTAAAAAAATTCAGAAACCCCATTTCTTGGACACCTTCAAGATCCCATTTTTCATAAGAAATCTCTATCTTAACCACTTTTTGGTGACATCGTAACTATAATCTCCATTTCTGATATACCCTTTTGGGTATTTGTTTTCTCTTTGTGGTAGGCATCTGGGTCTTGGGTTCTGCTTGCTCGACCTGACTGTTTGCTAGATTAGGGAGATTTGGGTTGGAAGAAGTAGAATTCCATTGGAAATGAGGGTTTGGAGGTGGGTTTTTCTTGGGGTTCTTTTTGCTGCCTTTATTTTGAGGATTGATGCCTTCAAGCTAGGTCGCAGTCGACCCACTGAACGAATTTCAGGTGGGATTTGATTCTATTATGAGTTTCTGTTTTTTCTTTTTTTCACCTTTTCTATTTTCTGTTGATTGTTATGGAGTTCTAGATTTGATGTTTTATTCTGTGTGTATACCAATGTGTATGTAATGTGGTTCAATTAGCTAAATGTAGTTTTGAAACATATGTTCGCTGCTATTGTCCGGTTCATCACTTTGGGATTCCCATCTTAAAGCATCAAATTTGATCAGATTCAAGCACTGGTTCTAAAATCTGTTAATTTTGTTTTTACTTTCATTGACGGCATCAGAGAGTTATTATTAGTTAGTTCATAAGAAATGTCTGTACTTGTCAATTATCGTTTAGAGTTTTAATCCATGAATGATGATGTGAGAGGCAATATTGTTTCGTTTACTGGGTTGCAAATCTTTTCCTGAAGTTACTGTGTGGCTGGCAAGTTGCAGAAGAGTATTATGAGGAGCGTTATATCTTGATGTCAGAGCAGACACATACCAAATTCAGCAAATGTTTTGTACAATTGCTGAAGTTGACTATGTTGTAGATTGCTTCGCCCCTGCATAGGAAGGTTTGTCATTGATGTATGCCCCAGAAGTACAGCTAGCATGGAAACAATCTGAAACATAATGATATTCTGTTATGAAGAGTGAATGTTGCCTATTTTAGGTGGAAGAAAGTTAAGAGATAATTATTAACTATTAAGTTGGTAATATTTAAGTATTCTTCATAATGTATTTAATTAAGGACAATGTGTATAACATGGAAACTTTTATTTTCTGGTCCTACTTTAAACTCTTGAAGTTAAACCTATGAGAGTATGTGTTTATGATGTCTCCTACATGCTAATTACTGGGATGAATACTCTGTTGTAGCATGTGTATCTATTTCTAGTAGAATTGTTACAATACTTTCAATTTTTCACGTATTTTGAGACTTGAAAATTTATTTATTTATTTATTTTTTGATTGGCAGATTTGAAACTTCTTTGTAATTTGATTTTTTTCCACAAATGCAGGTAGTGCTGGTGATGTCTTGGAAGATGATCCAGTGGGAAGGTTGAAAGTCTTTGTTTATGAGCTTCCTAGCAAATACAACAAGAAGATTTTGCAGAAGGACCCAAGATGCCTCACTCATATGTTTGCAGCTGAGATCTTCATGCATAGGTTTCTTTTGTCTAGTCCTGTTCGTACCCTCAACCCTGACGAAGCTGATTGGTTTTACACACCTGTATACACTACTTGTGACCTGACACCAAATGGCTTACCATTGCCATTTAAGTCACCACGAATGATGAGAAGTGCAATTCAGCTCATTTCATCAAACTGGCCTTATTGGAATCGGACAGAAGGTGCTGATCACTTTTTTGTGGTGCCACATGACTTTGGAGCATGCTTCCATTATCAAGTAAAAATTGCTTATTTTCTTTAATTCCATTCTATATGTCTTCTCATGAATCCCATGCTTGTACCTATTTCCAAATTTCTATCATTTCTCTTTTGTGATGTTGTTGAATGATTAGTACGTTCTATGTCCTGAAATATGATTTTTCATCCTGTTCTATTTCAATTGATGCAGGAAGAGAAGGCCATTGAAAGAGGAATTCTCCCCTTGCTCCAACGTGCTACATTAGTTCAGACTTTTGGACAGCGGAATCATGTTTGCTTGAAGGAAGGCTCAATTACAATTCCACCTTATGCTCCACCCCAGAAAATGCATTCACACCTGATTCCTGAGAAAACTCCTCGGTCCATTTTTGTTTACTTCCGAGGATTGTTTTATGACGTGGGAAATGACCCAGAAGGTGGTTATTATGCAAGGTATGTTTCTGTAAACTTTATTAAAAGACTATTTTTCAATTGCCCAAGAATTTCCACCTTTTCCTAGAAGCATTTGTAGGCTCCAAATCAGAACCATTTCATGAGGCAATTGTAAACAAGGAACTCGTTTATAATAAAACTATTGTAATGAAAACATTAACAAGAGATGTTATAACATGTAGAGTGTGCAATAGAATTGATCAATTGAAAGTAATGTGAGCAGTTTCTTTAAACAAGGATAAACACAGTGGTTGTAAGGAAGAAGGATTGACTGAATTTAGTGTTCTTGTTCAATGCTAGTTGAAGGTTCTCAATATTACTAATGAAAAGATAAATTTACCCAACCTGTCTCTAAGTTCAACGCTTGCAACAATCTTGCAGGGGTGCCCGAGCAGCAGTCTGGGAGAACTTCAAGGACAATCCACTCTTTGACATTTCAACTGAGCACCCGACCACATACTACGAGGACATGCAACGAGCCATCTTTTGCTTGTGTCCACTTGGTTGGGCTCCATGGAGTCCAAGGTTGGTTGAAGCAGTGATATTTGGATGCATCCCTGTTATCATTGCAGACGACATTGTTCTACCATTTGCTGATGCAATCCCGTGGGAAGAAATTGGTGTATTCGTTGATGAGAAGGATGTTCCAAACTTGGACACCATACTCACATCAATCCCACCAGAAGTAATATTAAGAAAACAGAGACTGCTCGCAAACCCTTCAATGAAGCAGGCAATGTTATTCCCACAACCTGCCCAACCAGGAGATGCTTTCCATCAAGTTTTGAATGGACTTGCCCGTAAGTTACCCCATGACAAGAGTGTTCACTTGAAGCCAGGTGAGAAGATCTTGAATTGGACTGCAGGCCCTGTTGGTGACCTCAAACCTTGGTAGCAGTTGTTATGTTGTGTAATATCAACATCCTTCAAAATCACTAGCTTGTTTGTTGTATCTCCGAGCATTAATGAGTCTTTTTTGGCCTTCAAACATTAATGAGTTAGTCCTTTTGAGCACAGATTATGTAATGTTAATATATATCTTGATTTCCTTCTAAATGCATTAGATTATACCGTCCTTTCTACAGCCCTAGATTTGTGACTATTTCCTGTATCCTCTCAATCAAATTTTCAGTCTGTTAATTGCATCATTGTTGGATGTGCTGATCCTTTTTGAGATATTGGTTCAAAACTGTCCCACTTTTTGTTGGAATAACATTGAGTTACACAACATGAGATTATAGTACATTCCATATTGTTCTCTGCTCAATGGGAAAAGATGGTTCAACTGTTAGAACCGAGGTTTTTAGATTGGATGTTTCATGTTCGAATTTCTTTTTAACAAACTAATCATAATGTTCCTGATAATGTTAGGACAAAATTGGAATTCTAATCTTCTGCGTGCGGTGAGAAAATGCCAGTATGAAATTTTTTTTTTGTTAGATAAGAAAGGACACAAAAATGTGGGGAGTAATAACGCCACGCCCATACATATTTTCCTAACAGCCAATTGTTCTACGCTTTTTACATGTGTAGGAGTCTTATCCCCTCATCTCTTCTCCTCCTCCTCCTCCTCCTTCCTCTGTTTCTAAACCTAGTACCACAAGGAAAATGACCCTTCAGGCACCCACAAAGTCCTTAGGACTGTCGTCTCTTCTTTCTCCGACCGGTAATCTTGGGTTCCGACCACCGGCCGGTAGTTTTTCTTTGAAGTCGTCTTTCGTGTCTCCGTCACTTCAACTCCTGCTTCCTCCTCATCAGCGGATTTCTGTTTCTGGGTCACCCAGATTTTCCATGCGGGTGACCTCCAAGCAAGCTTATATTTGCAGGGATTGCGGGTACCTTTGCTTTCTTCTTCCTTGTTTCCTATGTTTCTATAGTGTGGAATTCGAAGTGGGGTTGTTGTGGGTTTTTGTTCTTCATTTTGAATTATTGGTTGCAGGTATATTTATAATGACAGGACTCCATTTGAGAAGTTGCCTGATAAGTACTTGTGCCCTGGTATATCACCCTCTTTACTGTAAATTTCTTTGCTATTTCAATTTAAGAAATGATTTTTTCAACCTGGTTTAAAAGTATTGATTAAAAGTATTTCAATACTTTTTGAATAAGATTGATTAATAGTGTTTTGGTATTTTCACTAAAAGTGGAGTTTAGACTGAAAAAACCATTATCATTGAATTTACCTAAGATATAGAGAACTTGGGTGATTCTTGTATCAATAGCTTATTAAGAATAGGTTTTCCATCCATGCATGCATTTTACCACTTGAGTTACAAGTTTAAGTGGCTTGTTTATCAACATCCTTACTTCAGTGCATTATGAAACCAACTTTTGGAGCTCAGTCTCGGGATAAAATTACTAGCTGAGGTCTTAGGAGGTCTCAGAAAAAAATAAAAAATAAAAAATAAATAAAAAGGAAGAAGAAGAAGAGAAAACCCTAATGAAATGAGGTGGAGTGCATAACATAACTTTGGAATTTTGATTCTGGAGTTACTGTCCTCAACTACCCCCAAAGAAAAGGCTAATGCCTTGAAATTGAATTTTTTGCAGTATGTGGTGCTCCTAAGCGCAGATTCAGGCAATATGAGCCTGCTGTGACCAGAAATGCTAATGAAACAGATGTTAGGAAGGCAAGAAAGGCCCAAATTCAGAGAGATGATGCAATTGGGTAAAATAACAAATCTTTCCTATCTCCAAACATAGTAACTTTCTAATTCTATTTTTCCAATCAATACATCAATTCTCATGTCTTCAATGCCAATCTTAATGTGGCGCAGGAAGGCACTCCCCATTGGAATTGTGGTTGGAATTGTAGCTCTTGCTGGTTTATACTTCTACGTCAATAATGGGGTTGTAGGTTAGGTTGAATGAAAGTGAAATTGATTATTGGGTGTTGTAATTTTAGTATCTTTTGTATGTTTCCTTTTGGCATGCAACACTTAATACATAGTTTTTCTTCTTTTTGTTGATGGGTATGATATTATGATTCGAACCTTTTTCTAGGGACGTTCTTATGGTTAAAAACTTGTTAAATGACATATAATTGAACTTTGAAAAACTTATTCCAGCTTATGTAACAAAGTAGAAAATCTATACGAATATGGTCATAGGAGACTGATCATTCCTGCAAGACAAATGAGCCCTCTATCCTCTTATCCATGGTCTGCAAAGGAGGGAAATTTAAAGGAGACAACATGGTGTTGTTACTGGATGCAGGTGCTGGCTTGAACTCGTAAGGGCCTTCCATCACTCCCCAAACCTGAAACAGATGAAAAAAAGCCCATTTTATGAGACTTCCATTTCATTGTTGATGACATAGAGGATTAAGCAAGACCATGAAAAATGACCTGATTTCCATCATCATCATAACCCCTATCCCAGGTATGTATCTCATTATTCTTCAAAATAGCAAGTTCTGAGGTGCAGTACGTCGCTCCATTCTGTCAAAAAGAAAAATTAGTAAATTACTCATTTCTATTTCTTTCCATTGCAATGTCATTTGGATACCCACTACAACAAACGCTGTCAGCTAATGCAATGCAAAATAAATGTCAATATCCCAGAGACAGCATCGCAATGTCAATGAAACCAGCACGAAATGGAAAATTAGAGAGAGAGAGAATCATATACCCATGAATTTGGGAATCCTCCTGGTGGAGTTGAACCTTCATATAAGCAGCGTTTTCCACGTTCACAGCGTTTGAGGTGTATTGTTGCCAAATGTTCAGCAATGTCCTAACCATACGAGAAAATTAAACATGAAAGTAAGAAATCAACATTGCCCAAACTTAGGTAATGCTCTCAAAGTTGAGACTTGTTTCCAAAATATTGTAATGATAAATCATCGCTCTCTTGCTCTAAGAGTAAGACTAAAGAAAAAAGAAGTTCCAGGACAAAAGAGGAAATAAAAGGAAGCTTTAGGACAATAGCCCACAGAATCATATGATATGATCATGCATTCATGCTGCATGAAGGTGCCCAATAATTTAGCAGTTAGAAAACTTAATGAATTAATTTTAGCAAGTCACCTGCTTCTTTGAATTTTGAAAAGAGGGAGAAGTGAGGAGGGCAAAAGGTAAGCAGAGGAAGGACTGAGGGAATACCATATCTTATGAAATCCTTTCGAGTACTTAATTTTCCAGTTCCTAAATTGGGAGATTTGAAGGAAAAAAATATCTTCTACTAAAATCCTTGAACTTTCATTTTCATCCTTGTAAAACAAATCAGCTATAACGAAAGAACTTAGCAGTCAAAATAGTGTTCTGTTCTCCTCCCATCTCTTGTTAATCACATTCAAATGCTAAAAGGTATGTGAGTCATCAATATACATGCTTAGGTGCATCTGAAAGTGTAGATAAGATATTTCAGGAACAAAGAGCATGATGCTAAGAATAGAAGCATGTTGTTCAGGTCAAACAGGCATGGTTCTACCAAAATGGAAAAGGAAGAAACTGAACTTTCAGTAGGTTAGAAAATAAAGGGGTATGACTTGAATGTTTAAACTTCAGTGAGGTCATATACTTAAACCTTCACTGGAAACTTCAGATTAGAACAACCTATGATGCAGTTGAAACCCCAAAAATGAGCAAGCCTTATATATTTAATAATTTATAACTGATAATATCCACAAATTGAAACCAAACCTCAAAAAATAGAAGTCCAAATTGCTACCAACAGACTCTTAACATAGGAAGACTTACACCAATAACTTCTTCAGGCAATGGGCGCTGGTCTTTTGGACGATCACAAAAGTTCTTGTACTCCTCTGCATCTCTGATTGCATATGTACTCACCTGAGCCCAAAAAGGAAGGTCAGAGATAAATGCTAACTTCAGTGATATCATGAAGTTAACAAGCAATCCCAAGAATATTAGAGAAAATCCATGGTGCAAAGCAAGAGTAAAAAATTATTTCACAAGCAAAAAAAGACGCTTCAAAAACTCATTATCTTATACAATCACTACCAAATATATATATATATATATATATATCTGTGTTTTGACAATGCTTTTACTGAAATGGTTGTCTTACAATGATTGTAACAATAAAAATTGCAAAGT